GTCTCCAAGCAGCCCGCGTTGCGCAGCGCCCAGAACGGCCTGGATTGGGAAACCTGGCGCTCAGCGCAAGTGAGGTTATTTTTCTTCACCTCTCCAGGATCATCCTTTTCCACCTGACTCGAGCAGTTTCACCCCTCCCCTTCCTTTGTTTTTCCTCTATCCTTCTGTCTTTCCCACTTTCTATATATTAGATTTCTAGGTCATCGATTTTTATTCTCTTTCCTCCATTCCCTCATTGGCTGTTTTCTTTGTTTCCCTCTGGACCACTCTTAAGTTCACTTTTCTCAATTTTGCTCCCTCCCTCTTCCATTATTTTATGTCTCTTTTTTCCTCTTCCTGACCCTGACTATGTCCCTCTCCCTCGCTCTCGTTCTTTCTTTCTTTCCTCCCTCTCTTTCATCCTTATGTATTTCTTTCGTCGATTTCTTGGTCTGTCTCTCAGGTTCTCCTCTGCTCTTCCTCTCCAGGATCTGTCCCCTCCCCCCGTGGATCTGCCTTCCCGGCGGCGCCCCCTCCTCATCCATCTTGGGAGATGAAAATGTCGTTTTATTGGATGCCGAGGCCAGATCTGGGTGATGGGGCTCGGCCAGTCTAGCGCATTTTCTTCATGCATATTGACGAGATGGTAATGAGCGCGTTTGCATTGTTGCGTGGAGATGCTGCGTTTCCCGCCGCAGTTCCCAGAGGGCGAGGGTGGCGGGGGCCACGAGTGCCCACAGTGGGCACCCGGTCTAGTGGCTGCAGCTGGCCCTCAGCGGGTTCACGGTGCTTGGGGCCCGGGGAAGGAAGTGATCTCGCAGAGCTCGCGGTCGGGCCGCCACCTCCTGGGCTTCCCCACAAAGGCCGGCCGCCCTCCCCTCATTAAAGCCTCGTTACTGGAACCCCCGCCTGGCTCGTGACGGTTCCTTTACGCCTTCAGCCCAGGGGCCTCAGAGCCCCCCTCCCCTGATGTTTCGAGGCCTCTGACGGAGCACCACCAGGAAATTGATGCTTGACAACGTCGTCTAATGGCAATAAATTGCGATTCCGAGTGACACGTCGCAGGATCAAATACGGCCGCATTGTGTACGGTGCCCTGCTCACTCTGCCTTAATCTTGGAGCGCGCAGTGACCGCGCTTGGTCAGGGAAGGTTGCGCCCAGGCCCCCGGGCGTTGGGAGCCTGCTTGCGCCTGGGCTCAGCCCACATGGAGGACCCAGTCGTTCTAGAGGGACGTGTCCTTCCTAGAGAAGATCTGCAAAGCTCAGGACCCCGGACGCAGACACACCTCTCCAAGAGGTTATGAAAATCCGGAGCTCTGCGGGAGTGAACTGAATTGAGCTCTGAGGGAACCTACACTGGAAAATCAGAAGGGCATAGAGCCCAGTTCTAGACGCAGTCCAGAGGGGAACCTCTGGCCATCAGACACTTGCACTGATCACCCCATTCTCTTCCAACTTCATGCTATGAAAGTTGACAGCTTTTGGTTTAAAAGCAGAGGCGTTAAGATCTGGCCTTGTCTGGAATTGTGTAGGGTCGAGTTCCGCAAACCCCAAGCCTTCCACTACCACCTCTACTATTTAATATTTTTCGTTACATTGACTCACTTTAAATACTTAAATACATGTTTTTGGAAAGAAAACTTGATACTATTACTATCCATTGAAAAGCGGCTATTACTTACCCTAGAAAGAAATTGTAAAAGATAAACACAACTAAAACTGAGCAACCTTAATACAATTTAGTCATGTTGCTTGCTTGGGAATGACTTCTGGAGGTCCCTGTGTGTGTGTATGTGTGTGTGTGTGTGTGTGTGTGTGTGTGTGTGTGTGTGTG